AAAAAAACTACATCTACGTCTTGGATGGCTTGAGTGTGAGCAAATGGTCAACATATTATCTTTTTGTTTTTTTGGGGGGGGAAAACTATTCTTTTAATCACAGGTTAAAAGATCCTCAATAGATCCTAAACATATGTACTGCAAATGACAGTGCTCATTATGAAATCTGAATAAGGATTTATGTTTTGTATGCATACCTTAACTTGCCTTGTACATTCACTGTTTATGTAATTGTTGTTTTAATGTTTTTATTCATACCAGTAGGCTTACTACAAATGTTTCAACAAAAAATTTTCGTTAACAGCATGCATTTTGAAGCAGTTAATGATTTAAAATTTTGGTTAAATTAATAATTATTTAAACATAACATTTTACTCCTATGGAAACAATGCTAGTAAAATGCCATAGAATTTGTGCGATCTTGAAGAGTCTGAAATAGATGTTGCTCAATCAGGAACATAAAAATACACGCATCATAACGCTGACTACATATGGTATGGACTTAAAGACATGAATTTTATTTCCAAGATGATGCAGGGGAAGCTTTGAATTTCAATACAATATAGAGGAATATAGTAAGTTTGTATTGTATTGTAATATTTATTGTATATTCAAATCAATGTATGATACTAATACCAGATGATTGACAATTGACATTGATAGTGATTGATACGCTTTAAATCGGGTGATTTTAGGTCAAGTTTTGGCTGTCATTCAATTATGCTTTCTGCCGGTAGGGAATAGTAATATGGCCACTTGAACACTTCCGGTGTTGAGCAATCCAGTCATTATATAGATCAGTTCTCCATCCCCATCAATGTTTGCTTGAATTAATGGCATATGAATTTTCAGCAGGAAACAGTAAAGTAACCCTTCCTAATAATCTCTTTTAGGCGCTTTGTTTGGAACTTCTTTCGTTTGGAGAACGAGCACCTGAATAACTGTGGTGAGTTCAGAGCTGTGCGGGACATCTCAGTAGCACCTATGAATGCAGATGACCAGACGCTACTGGAGCAGATGATGGACCAAGAGGATGGAGTGAGGAACAGACAGGGAAAGAAGAACTGGAAGAGAACCTACAGCATGCCTTTGAGAAGACCATACCTCTCCTCTCAGTACGCTCAGCCTCACAAACACAAATCCATCCTATTCTTTTTAACCAATTAATTGACCTGGCTTTTCCAGTTATTTGTGATTTACTAGATAA